CATTTGTGCCACTACTTCCATTGTAATGAATGCTAACTTTATATTTTAAACAATAAATAAGAATATAAATAAAATCAATGGGATTGCGTGTATCAAGAAATGCCAGTCATGGTAATAAGCACCAGCTATTTACACTTTTAAGATTGGCTAGGTCTTTAAAGATTGTTTAAGTATAGATCCCTCATTTAAAGATAAGTGAATCAAAGCCTAGAAAGGTTCGCTGATGTGCCCCTGATCTTATGGATAAATACATTAGAATCAGTCCCTCTGGCTCTTGTATTTTTCATATAAAATTCACCTCCAGGGGCTTCCATGGAATTAAATTATTATTTGTGCATATAAAGAGAAACCAAATCAGCAATTTGCCATTTCACCACAAGATAATAGTAAATACAATGTTTAGATGTTCAAATTTTTAATAACGCTTAGGCCAAGAAGACTATGAAATTTTAATCACTCTACAAAACATTTTTTTTATTAAAGCTATTTTCTAAATGCTTTATAAATGTTGTTTAAATAATGACATGCTAAGCAGCCAAGTTAAACATTTATGAAAAAGAACTTCTCATTTCCTCATATTATTAGTTAGTTTCTTAGCTTCCTGTCATTTGTTTACATTATTTATATTATCTGGATAATGTCCTCATTATTCCCCCCTTATGCATGGCATACAGCTTATCAAGCTGACTTGCATTAACCATGGCACAGAAGTAGGACAGATTCTCAGGGAGCCCAGCACAGAGGTTCCTGGTCAGTTATGTGGACAGCCATTTGGATTGTACCAACTGAATACAGGAAAGGCATTTGAAAGAAAGGTTCAAGTGTGCTATATATAAAAAGAGAGAGGCAAGAAAAGTGGGGGTGGGGGTACACATTGGCATTTTTCAAAGAGAGAATGAAGGAGGATGCTTGCCAAGACCTTTAGATTGATAAAACAACTTTGGCTCCACATAACAATTAGTCACACTTTTGTCTAAGATGGTTATCATTGCTGAAACGCCTCTAAATTGTGAACTTGCACCACTTAACTAAGTGATGAAAGCCTTGCTTCTCAGTTCTAAGAGAGCACAAAGAGATCTCTGGATTAATCTGGCTGTCCCATCCATCTTATAGGTAGTCAAGGTAAGTCAATTCTGGCTGCCATTCTCCTCTGGGGCTAAAGTGTAGAGGAGACCTGTGATATCAGGAAACAAAATAGATCTCAGTCTTCCAAAAAGGATGAGCATGGTGGAGCTAGCCTAGATATTAGCTTGAAATCTCCCCGAAAAAGCCATTATGATATGTTAACCAAAGGAAGTCTCTTTCTGATTAGAAAAGTACTCAATCTTTTCACAGGTGTCCAACATTGGTTTGTGTTTGAAAACACCCTAAATCAACCAGGATAACTAGCTCTCTTCCTTTTGCCATTCCCTTCAGACATTTTTAGATGTGCCTAAATCTTTTCTTTCCCAGAACACTTTCACACACATTAGTGCACAAATACTAAAAACCTTTCTGTTTCAGCACTTTCTATGTGTCAGATTACTTTCTGTATGCTGGGAATATAAATATGAATGACTGTAAGGGCATATAGGAAAATGCCTACCAGAGGAGCTACACTTCTTCACCTCTTCTAACTAAGTTTGTGGTGCATAGACATGAGTGAATGACTGCATGAGGCAGGGTGAATTCTTTGAAACTCAATGTCAGTGACCTTTATTACTCAGTGAGAACACAATTAGAAACACTTGCTACTAATCCTGTGAAGACACTCTTCTGTTACAAGATGTCCTTTTCACTCTTTGGAGTCTCTCAAGAAATTCTCAAGTTCTCGTCCAGTGTTTAAAATGAGGTGTGGCACATATCTAACTTCATTTTGTTTAGCATTTGTACTGTCTTCAACAAATAAGCATCTGTTCACATGCACATAACACAATAAAGCCTGAACAGAACAAATATCTATAAAGAGAGTTTTAGAAAAACGTATGACTCAATTCTTGTCCTTTGTTACCTCACATTAGGAGGAACCATGAAATCAACATTTCCTAAAGACCCACAAATGTGTCATTCTTTGGATGGATTGGGGTTATTGGTTAAGACACACATCCTTCACCCGAGCATGGAGTTCGTTCTGAAACAATATTGCTTAGTACTGTATTGTAAGAGTGTAGTTGAAGGAATACTTAAATATTTCATTCATATTCACCATGTCCCATCCACTTTATGTGGCAACTGTGTAGTCTCTGAGTAGACTATATATAAATTGATTTACTCGAAACACTCGAGACCAAACTCAGTGTCAGAGAGTCCATCTGACTCATAGTGACTGTCTGACAGAGTAGAACTGCCCCCGTGGCTCTCAGAAGCTGTACATCTTTTCCAAAGCAGAAGAATAAACAATGACTATGTGGGGTGGGGGTGGGGGAAGGGATGAGAGAGAAAAAAAGGGCAGGTGACAGCTTCCTTGTTTAATTGTTTATCAACTGTTGTTAAGAGACAAACAAAATTCTCTCTACGCCCAAATTATGTAATTTATCCGGAGTGTAGAGTCGCCTCTGTTGAGCAGTGCTGATAACGGCACTAATAGTTTAATTACAACTTACTGCTCAAGGAGATAAACAAGGCTGTTTGCTTTTAAACTAGGGGTTACAATTACTTTTAAACGCGGGGGAAAGACACATCTGCGTGGAGATCTTACTTTGTCAGGAAAGCAACCAGAAACCAGCTGGAAAATAAACAAAGCCCCAGGAGTGAGCAGCCGGTGGCGCAAAATTAGAGCAAGAGCGCCCAATTTGAGCAGTGGAGCGGTAGGCGTGACACGTAGTAAACAGGCGGCAAATGGAGGTGGGCAGGGATAGAAAAGTTTTCTGTGGCCAGATCTTGTGCATTTTCCCTGAGATTCCACCACATACAGCAACTGCGCCTCTCCTCCCTCAGCCGTCCAGTTTATAAGCACCTCTCTGTGTACCCCAGTCCTTGGCTTCAGCACCACCGAGGGAGGACAGCTCCTCTACCGCAGTACCACGCCTGCAGGGACCAGCCTTCCCTCCTCCTTTCCAGCACCCTCCACATCATCCCTTTTTTTCTCTTTGGGTATCTTTCTTACCAGTTTGCGGTTAGGTGTACTTCCAGAAGGGACTGAAGAAAGTCATGCTTACTTATTTCCAGATGAAAAGGAATGCACTCCTACGTCGGCCCATCTTTAAGTGGGCCTCTAGAGCCATTTAACCAAAAGTAAAAGATTGTAAGTCACTGGGTTTAATTTCAATGGCAAATAGCTCAGCCTTACTTCCTAATAGCTGGACCTTGTACCACCTTTGAAGTGCTTTATTCTACTGTCAAGGACTAACAGAAGGCACCCAACTCTTACTTACTCTTTCTGCCCCCGATGCTTGGTGGTAATATACACACAACTGGAAAATACTCAAGCTCAGTAGCAAAGGAGTCAAGGGAATAAATCCTGAAACCACTGGATGGGGAGAACAATCTTCATCCTAAATCAAACTCTTCCCAGCCCTTTAGAAGACCTCTCACAACCATATGGTGAACCCTGAGCGTAAAAAGAGAAGCTTCACAGCTCCAACGGGGGCAGCACAGAATACTACAGCGTACCACACAAAGTGCCAAGGCCTTCCCAAGGAAGTCCCCCTCCCCGAGGTCCCAAAGCCAGAGGTAAACCTTCAGGAGAGGTAGGGTCTGTAGGATCTGAACTCCCAAATCATCAAGATGAGAAAAACCATACAATTGTGGTAGATTCTGGGGCCATTCCCTCACCATCAAGATACTGGCTTGCTTAGTCAATACATCTTTTTCTCTGTGCATAGTTTTCCATTTTTTCCAAATTCCTCCATGGGCCATCAAACACCCATCATTTGAGGTTTCGCACACACATACACATTGTCTTTTGATTCTGTTTGATCTCAAGAGTTGCTTACCGAAAGAAAAAGCCACCATTGCCTTGTACACTTATTTTGAAAGCAGGCCTTCCTTCAAGGAAATGCCCTTGCTCCCTTTGCATGAGAGTTCCTAGAATATGATGGACGTCTGAAAAAAAGACGGAGTGCAAGCCACCGTTGAAGCTTAATAGCTCTGGGAGAAAGTAGCCATGTGAAGCTATTGGGGAGCAACTTCCTCTCCAGGGAAGTGGATGGGGTGGGCGTGGACATGAAGGTTGCTGTGAGTCGGGAGCAGCCAGGGCATACTCTCAGTGCTTCCATCAGGTCACTCTGAGCTTGAGCAGACTCAAGGGGAGTGATTTTGACTTTGACCCCATCTGTTTTTACATTGCCCTTTTGCTCCTTTTATCCCTCTCTTTCCCCTTCCCTCCCTCCGTCCCACCTACCCTCTTTCGCCTCAGTTATTATTTTCTCTTCAATCCACTGGAGTCCCTTGGAGGACCAGCTTCGGGGACACCACCAAATCATATGCCATGTGTCTGGCAGCCCATGCTATTATTATGAGAGGGTGGCTTTCCAGCTGCTTGGTGCAAGATAAACGTTCTGGTCCCAAGGAGTCAATCCTGGCCCCTCTCTTCACGCCAACACCACAGCAGGACCACCAACCTGTCACAATCACCAGTGTCTGCATGTCACCAACAAGTTCCACCCTGTAGTAGCCCAGCCAGCAAACCACCGAAGGATCCTCGCCGCCAGCCTCTCCTGCACCAGCCTGGCGTAGCCCCAGCCTGACCCCTCTGGGGCCTTCCCTGAGGATCATCGCGACCATGGACAACACTCTCTTCTCTCCAGGAAGGGGAAAGGCCACGCGTGTGACTCCTGGGCGGATGTGGGGCTCCACGCACTACCCTCCCCCACCTCTGCGTCTCTCTCTTACACACAGTCACACACACCCTTCTGATACCGGCGACACAAAGGGAGCCAGTGGGAGCGCCCCTGCGCCCAGCTGGGTGGGGACAGGGGGGCGGGAAGGGGAACCCCAGGAGGTCCACGGGGTGAGCCGGTCTGGGAGGAGGGGAGTAAGCTGGGTGGAGACAGAGGGGGAGGCGGACAGCATGTCCTTACCTGCTCCCAGGTTGAAGGAGATCCTGGCCTCCGCGAGGTACGGCGTGTCGCTCTTGGAGCGTACTCTTCGGATGGGCCGCCGGTCTATATCATCCTCCGAAGATGCCGCCATTAATGTGGGAGGCAGGAGCAGGGTCGCCCGGCGAGCTGAGAGAGGGAGAAAGCGAGGCAGCCAGAGAGGGAGAGAGGAGGAACGGAACAGGGGGGAGGAGGGGAGAGGAAGAGGCTCACACACCAGGAAAGGGGGAGGGGAGAGGGAGTTGGGAGAGGAAGGGAAAAGGGACAGGGAGGGAGGGGAAAGAGAGGAAAAAAGGGGGAAAAAGAGGGAGAGAGAGAAAGAAAGAGCGCAAAGGAGAGAAAAGGGTGAAGGGAGAGAAAGAAAACCCGTTAAGGATTTGTGGACTGGAGCAGAGATCAGGGCTATCCCTGGCTTGCACCCGGGACTTCCCCTAACTCCTCTCCCAGCCCAGGGCCAGGGGGTCAGAGCTTCTGGCTGACTCCCCGCCGGCCGGCCTGCTAGCAGCCCTAGTTTTGAGCTCTCCGCAGATAGGCCAATGCAAAAAATGCCCAGTCAGCACTGAGCCCTCTCCCGCCAAACGCACTGACTCTGCTCTTCAAGTGCACACCAAGGGCTCTTCAACCCACAAGATTCTAGACCAGGGAAATACCCCAGCTTGGGGTTTCCCTGCAGAGTTATTATACCCAGGGGAAATCCCGGGCTAGGCGGTCTTGGAGGGGACCTTGGAAGGGCGCTCTGCTGCCCTCTCCTTTCTTAGCCTGGAGATCAAACCGATAGAACCAGATCTGAGACTTGCACCCTAGAGGTGGGTGCAGGGTAGAGGAAGAGATTGCGTGGCTGCAGGAGAGTTGACAATTTGAACTTGTACACTAGGTATATGCGGATGGCTGAGTCCCCCCTCTCATAATCATTCACCTCTAGGATGTCTTTATCTCTACGTCAATACCCATTCATTAGCCTCCAATGGTCTCTATTATGGTTACTATTATACAAAAAAGAAAAAAAGTCTTTGGATTAAACTCCTAGTGTCCACAACCCTGCCTGATCATTTCCTCTTTCCAGGGAAAAGGGAAGATCAAAGGAACGCTACATTTTCTTTGAACACTTGCACGGTGACCCCCAACCCTCCCATCCAATCGGACTGATGACCTAGGAAGCTACCCGGGAGGGAAGCAGAAGGGTTTGATGATTTTATTGATGGGCTGCCCTCTCTCATGTTTGCCTTTTCCACAGCTTCGATCCCTCGCTCTCAGCGTGGTCTGATGTTGCCACGATTCTAGCTCATAAAAGTCCACCTGGAGTACACAGAGCAATCTCACCTGGGTTTGCTCCATGCCTCAAAGCCGAGTTCAGTCTCAGAGGAGGGAGTCTGCCCCTGTGCCGTCAGGCGTCCCCCTGTACTTCAGCTTCTGATCCTAACTTGCTTCTTGCACAGGCCCGTCCTGGAATCTTCACTCTGCTCTGGTCTCTCTCTTCACACAGGCATAGTAGCTGCTCATCTTAAGAGAAACATGCCTGCCTGTGGCCTTGCTGCCTGCTGCAGCTCTGCCACATCGTTTCCTTCTCTTTCTGTTTAACTCCTGGCCCAACAGGCCCCCCCTTTTCCATTACCAATCGCCTCTTTCTATACCCACCACTGGTTTCTATCCCTGCCGCTCACCCAAAGTGGTTGTAGTGGTTAAATGGTGAACTTCAAAATGGTTACAGGCCGTTCTTTCTTGGCCCTGTTGAAATACTCAGTCATCTGTTTTTCTCATTTTTGCTCTACTACTAACCTATTGGTTGGTAAAGTAAAAACTTCGGGCTCTGCTTCCCTAAAGCCTACAGGCAAAATGATCCCACCACACAGACCCTGTGGTCCAGTCCTGTGCGGTAACACGGGCAGTCGCCGTGAGTTGGAACGGACCCCATAGAATAGACTCAGTGGCAATGGTTGGGCCCTTTTGCTCTCCTACCTGCCCCCTAGCCTCTTCACTTGTGATTATTAGACCCCTCTCTGCATGGTAATTTGGTCCTCCCTATCTCAGCATTCAGGGAACCCTGGTGGCATTGTGGGTGAGGCATCTGGCTGCTAACTCCAGGTTGACAGTTCGCTGCTATGTGGCAGAAAGATGAGCCTTTCCTGTTGACCATCTCAGAAAGACTGCTGGCAGAGTTTTGTTTTGATTTTTATTTTGCTATTCAAGGTCCTCCAAAACCTGACTTCCCTTTGTCTCCCCAAACGTAGCTCCCTTATTGACCTTTAGTCTTCTTAGTCTTGTCCCAACAAGTCTGCCTCATGTCTGCAACTGCATCCTTGCTCAAGTGCCACACTATCATTTCTTCCCTATAAATGTTCCATGATCGTTCTCAGCAGTCTGAGTTAACTGGCTCACTAGTCTATGGCAGGAACCCAGTCAAACTCACTGCCCTGGAATCAATTCTGACGCATAGCAAGCCTAAAGGACAGGGTAGAACTGGCCCCGTGGGCTTCTGAGACGGCGACTCTTTTGGTAGCTGAAAGCCTCGTCTTTCTCCCTTGGCGTGGCTAATGGTTTTGGGGCTGCCGATCATCTGCTTCACAGCCCAGCGCTCAACTCACTCTGCCACCAGAGCACCCTGGCATGAACTTCATACACAGTAAATGCTTCAATCGATTAAAAAAAAAAAAAAGGATGTAAGGAAGAAAAGGAGAGGGGAGAGGAGGAAAAGGGAATCAATGAGGGTTCCATACTAATAGGTAGTTAAGTGGAGCACCAAATTTGTACATATTATTTAAAATCCTTTAAGCAGTATATTGAGTTACCAATAGTAATGGACATAGATATGTACATATGTGTCTCTGTGTATATCTATCTATCTATCTATCTATCTATCTATCTATCTATCTATCTAATCTCCATTGTTATCAATTCATGTCTGACTTAGAGCAGTAAGGGTCTGAGGCTGTAAATCGTTTTGGAAGCAGAAGCCTCTTCTTTCTCCTTGGAGTGGCTGGTGGGTTTGAACACCTAATCTGGTGGTTAAGAGCTTGATGCTTACCTCACAGTGCCACCAGTCCCCCCTCTCCCCATCTCTCTCTCTCACTATTGACTAATTGCATTATAAGTTAAGGTTTCTTATTGATCTCATTTTCATGTTCCATTTATCTTTTGAAAATGCAAATTAAAAATGGATGCTGCTATTTCAAGGGCGACAGCAGGGTTATTTGGCTCATCCCCTGGACCATGAAGGTGAAGGCTTTTGGGATGACTAACTGACCTGTAAACCAGTATCAGGACTATGCCTCAGGGGCTTAGGGTCAGGCTCTTAAGGAAGTGCGAAAGAAAGGAAAGGAAAGGAAATGATTCTGCACATTGTATAAACCGTGTCTCCCTCTGAAATGCTGCAGAGCTACTGGATTGTTGAAATTGTTTAGAATTCTTTTTTCCCTTCTACTTTACTTCATCAGTCATGTCTCCAGAAAAAAAGGATAGAGTCATTTGAAGAAATACCTGGTATTAATTTTCCCTATGTCCCTTTGATTTTAAATATTAATACTTCTTGATGGAAACAAGCACATCCTTGGATTTCTGTTTCGTATTCCGTTTCTTATTCTAATCCTTTTAGAGGATTAGGATCTTTCTATCTCCTTAAGCTTACCTTTCTTTATAGGGGTTTAAATGCCATGCCATATTATTTCATTGAGACTGCTTTAATACTAAAATGGTACGCGATAGAGATACCCTTGTCCAAAGTGTCATAAAAATACCACATTCATGTTTATGTTCTCGGCTTCTTTCACATTTCCTTTTTTATAGGAATCTGTTTTTTGCCTCCTAAACAACTTATTTTCTTCGTCATTGCCTCCCCTCCATCCTCTTTGATTTGTGCTTCATTTTCCCCCACATCCTTAATTGGTTCTTTTTCACAATTCCATCATAGACTCAACCCCAATTCTCTCATCCTGACCTAGTGCCCTGGTGGTGGGAATCAGGGCGATGCTTCTGCTTTCAGCACTACCACAAGGTGACATTGGAAAATCACCCTACTAGTACGGCCCGGTCATCTCAGATATAAAACTCAAGGCATCGCATGACCATAAAGGCCTTACCTAACTTCAAACTCTATAGTTATTTGCATTTACTCTTGTTTCTCTACATCTTTCCATAAATACTCAGGACATATTTTATCTCATAATCGAAGAAAATAATTGTTCCTTTGATTCATAACCAGTAATATTTAGGAAACTGAGTGGTATCCATCCTCCCAGCTGATTGCATGTGATTGTATATCCTTGGGATCCTATTCACTTCTATTAGAGTTTCCTTTATGTAAAACACCCATGTGATTGTTTGTGGGGATGCATGTCTGGTTGTGGCTTTATGGCCCGAAGGATTTAATTTAACTGTGATCCAAGCAACTTCCAAATATAATATTTTTCCCTTGGCATGCCTCTTCTCAACATGACTTCTGACTTATAAAGAATATAAGTTATGACTATTCGGCCCTAATACCTCAATCTCCACACAGGGAAAACCCAACAAACACCTAAAAGTGAGGCGCCCTCTCTCAGGTCTGACTCAGGGGTGTTGGTAATCCATTTTCAAACAAACTCTGGCTGAGGGCTTTTTACATTACTGGTCAACTGTTAGAAAGAACTCAATGGAGACTGAATCTGTGTTGAGACTAAAAATGTATTTAGGTTTGTATTGTAGCCTTCCACAAACCTAGTTCTCATAATTCAGACTTCAATGTATTCTTTCTTCCGATGATGGCTGTGGTTAAAAGTTCCTGGAAATCACTTAAGGTGCTGTGCTTTCTTCTGAACAGACTAGCTGACACCTTCCTGGGGTGGATACTTGTTTTAAGACAAGCCTTTGTGCCCCAGAGGCAGTTCTTTTTCATAGCCAGGCACCATCTGAATCCTTCACTGTATTTTCCCATTGTACTCAGATCTTCAGTGAATGAAGATGGCCTTTTTAATACATTATTTTGAGTCACTTGGTTAATCCATATATGGAACAAAATAAGCCTTGATACCTACTTCACGTCATACTCAAAAATAAATTCCAAATGGACCTACATTTGAAAGGTAAAACTAATGGCTTCCAGAAAACAATTTTCCCCCCCATAGGATAAATTTAATGACCACAAGGAAGGCAATGCT